GTCGAATTCTGTTTATGTACATTTCAAATAGAAGTTGTAGTTATTTCATATTAGTTTTTGTAATGATCCAGTCTTAGTAGCTCATGACTTGTATTACCAGTACTTGGGATATTGTAGATGGTCAGCTTTATTTTTATTAGAATTGTGTTAACTGTTAATTGGCTGACCTAACGGGTTGGGTTATGTGCCATCACGACTAGTAAATTTTGGGTCGTGATATGTACAATTTTCAACTAAAGAAAATTTTAATATTCAAAGCTTTAATTAATTTTAGAATCTTAATTTTAAAAAAATAATTAAATTACTATTCCTAAATTACATAACTATTTTGTCTAGTGAGTAGTGTTCATAAGCAAAGATTTAGAACTCTAACTCATGTTGCACATGTATGTATCTGTATATTTTAGAAGGACTAGTCTTAGGGTACGCGTTTTGCATGTGTAACTTATATCAAGGGTATATAATTTCAAAAAATCACATAATGTGTTTGAGTTATAAAATAAAATTTTTAAAAAGGGTAAGTTCTTGAAAACGATGAATGTTAATTTTATTTATCTATCTCCACAAAAGTCTTTAGATGTCTTATTGTGATTTTAAAATTATTATTATTTCTATTACCTAATACTAAAAATAATAAATCACAAAATACTTTTATCACAATTTTTTCAAAGATTTATTAATAAAACAAATTGAAAAATAGAATTTTTTGGTATTTTAGAGATTTGTATATGGAGAGATTAGCCTTATAGCTCATAAAAAATTGATAAGTGATGATGCAAAATCTAAACATAACTACTGTTCAGTTAATATTTTACCAAATTGTTGAAATGAATGTGAAAAGAAACAAAAAATTAATTACAAAATTAAATCATTTAGAATGTATTTTGTCTTCTAATGTTCTATCATTATCGTTTCAAGTTTGCACTTTTACTAATTTGACTTTTAGTACTATAGTATAACTATTTTGCTCTATTTTATGATACTTTTCATTAATAATGCTCTTTTTATAAAAATAAATTTATGTAGCCTAAGTGTTTAGTCAAATTAAAAAATAATTTTACTTATACATGAATTTGGAAATGAATTTAGTTGGATATTTGTAATTGCTGATTAGTTAATTATTTTAGAGGATTAATTATTTGTTAACCTTAAAGGGAATGATATATTTTTGTTGATTCAAATTTATACTAGCTCATCCCAAGCTTTAAACATTTAAATATAACTATAATTTTATCTAAACATTTATAACGTGAAAAATTCCTTCTATCCTTTAAAGTTTTAATTAATATTAGTTTATCAAAAGTTAAAGTTAATTATATATTTTTTGTGATATACTTTAAGCACATATATGTTTGAGTTTGTACATTTTTCAAATAAAAAAATATTTATTAGTTAATGTATACGGGTAAAATCGAGCTCATGGTACATCCTAGCCTCCGACAAAATAAGTCAGGCTCGAGATATGGCAATAAGGGACCGAAACTGAGCCTAAGTCCCACAGGGTTGGAACCCGGGGGCATGATGCCTGCTTTCGAGGATATCGAGGGCGCAATTCCGGAATCGATCCTAGCCTCGAACGACTTCGAAGAATATTGTCAGACGATCCAGCGTAGCCAACAGAAGGCTGAAATATCTGTGACCGGCCGAATGTTACAGCGGGAATCTCGGTACGTATCGATAAGGAACCAGCAATCAGCAATCAGCAAATCAGAAGATTTTTTACCCTCAATGCCAGTTCGATGTGGCCATCAACACAAATTTGCATACCGATCCCGAGAACAGCATATGCAGGGAAGTCCGATCAATTGCCCAGAATACGCACGACGTGAAAATGATGGGATCAACTTGCGAGTGATCTTCAAAATGTTACAAGATCAATAGGCGGCGATAGCCCAGTTACAGAGCCAAAGCCGAGTGCCGAGCAGAGTTGAGCCCGAGCCGTCCCGGGAAGTCGCCCGCAGAAATAAACCGATTACGGAGAGGCCGAATGAAAATAAATCTGGAACTAACCCCGAGATCATAAAAATGCTCGAGGAATTGACAAAGCGGATAGAATCGGGGGAGAAGAAAATTGAAGCCAATGATGAAAAGGTGAAAACCTACAATTCCAGGGTCGATCAAATCCCAGGAGCGCCTCCGATATTGAAGGGCTTGGATTCCAAGAAGTTTGTTCAAAAACCTTTTCCTCCGAGTGCAGCACCGAAGCCGATCCCGAAAAAGTTTCGTATGCTCGAAATTCCTAAGTACAACGGAACGACCGACCCAAATGAGCATGTGACCTCCTATACATGCACCATCAAAGGGAACGACTTGAAAGATGACGAGATCAAATCTGTCCTGCTGAAAAAGTTCGGGGAAACTCTATTTAAGGGAGCTATGATATGGTATCACAACCTACCTCCTAATTCTTTTGATTCGTTTGCTATGCTTGCAGATTCATTCGTAAAAGCACACGCCAGGGTTATCAAGGTCGAGACCAGGAAGTCAAATCTTTTCAAAGTGAAGCAGAGGGATAACGAGATGCTCAGGGAATTCGTGTCCCGGTTTCGAAAGGAACAGATGGACTTGCCTCTGGTCGCGGAAGATTGGGTCATTCAAGCCTTCACCCAGGGACTCAATGCTCGAAGCTAGTAGTTGAAGAAAAATCTGGTAGAGTATCCGGCTGTCACCTGGGCCGACGTATATAATCGGTATCAATCAAAAATCAGGGTCAAAGACGATAAACTCGGGGCCCTTTCCGGGTTAGTTTATCCTATCAGATCAGTTGACAGAGTCAGGAGAGACATTGATCATGAGCCAAGATCGAACAGGGATCGGTATCAGCCATACAATGGAGACCGAAGAGGTGGTGGACCTGGGTGAAACCTCGTGAAAAGTGAAAGAAGAAGTGACCGAGGTCAAAACAACCAGGGACTCATGAGTAAAAACAATTTCGAAAGGCCCATCGGGCCAAAAGAAGCATCAAGACTATCGGAGTACAACTTTAACGTCATCTCTGCCGCCATCGTATCCGCCATTGGACGTATCAGAGACACCAAATGACCTCGACCTTTACAATCTGATCTATCCCAAAGGGATCCTAACCTAATGTGCAAATATCATGGCACTCATGGTCACAGGACAGAAGATTGCCGACAATTGAGAGAGGAAGTAGTCCGGCTATTCAATAACGGGCATCTCCGAGAGTTCCTAAGCGACCAAGACAAGAACCACTTTAGGAGCAGAGATTTTGGTAAACTGACTGAACAGGAGGAACCTCAGCATATCATCAACATGATCATCGGTGGGGTCGATGTCCCCAGGGTCCGATGCTAAAATGCACCAAAGTGTCCATCACGAGGGAAAAACAAACTCGGGATTACGTGCTGGAGGGAACCTTGTCCTTCAATGATGAAGATGCTGAGGGGATCGTGCAGCCCCACAACGATGCACTGGTAATATCAGTACTTATAAATAAATCTCGAGTTAAACATGTGTTAATTGATCCAGGTAACTCGGACAACATCATTAGATCGAGGGTCGTGGAACAGCTCGGCCTACAAGATAAGATCGTGCCCGCGGTTTGAGTCCTAAATGGGTTCAACAAGGTATGTGATACCACTAAAAGGGAGATAACATTACCGGTAAACATCGCCGGGACCGTTCAGCAAATAAAGTTCTATGTGATCGAACGGGACATGAGGTACAATGCTTTGTTCGACAGACCATAGATTCACAACATGAGGGCGGTACCCTTGACTCTGCATCAGGTGTTGAAGTTCCCGACGCCGGGAGGAATGAAATCAGTTTACGGAGAACAACCGGCCATAAAAGAGATGTTAGCGGTCGATGAAGTGGTCCTAATATCCACACTTTTGACACCAAAAGACCTGGGTCCGGTCACCAAGGGAGAAACCAAATAGCAATTACTAAAACCGACTCTGTCCCAACCGGAGAAGCAGGAGATGGGTGAGGACGATGACTATGGGGTTCCCAGGTCTTTCGTGGCTCTTGATGATTCCGAGGCTACCAAATCGATGGTCGAGGAACTGTATCAAGTCGTATTGATCGAACACTTGCCCGATCTAAAGGTATACCTGGGCACGGGGTTAAATCTTGAGCTCAGGGAAAAACTCATTCAATTTCTTATAGCTAACGAAGATTGTTTCGCTTGGTCCCACCTTGATATGACAGGGATCCGGCTGAAAATAATCACTCACAAGCTAAGCTTGGACCCGAAGTTCCACCCGGTCAAGCAGAAGAGAAGACACTAATCCGAGGTCAAACATGCTTTCATCATGGACGAGATGTCTAAACTCCTTAAAATAAGATCAATCCGGGAGGTAAATTACCCGGACTGGCTAGCAAACGTAGTAGTAGTCCCCAAAAAGAGGAACAAATTAAGAATGCATGTAGATTACAAAGACCTGAATAAAGCGTGTCCCAAGGACTCTTCCCTTTGCCTAACATCGATTGCATGATCGATGCAATGACCGGCTACGAGATTCTTAGTTTTCTCGACGCCTATTCCGAGTACAATCAGATTCGGATGGACCCGGGTGATCAGGAAAGAACTTCCTTCATCACCAAGTACGACACCTACTGCTATAACGGCTAGTAAATCTGATGTTCGAAGAACAAATAGGAAAATCAATGGAGGTTTACATTAATGATATGTTGGTTAAGTCCCTGCGAGAAGAGAACCATTTGAAACATTTGCAGGAAACCTTCAACATATTGAAGAAATACAATATGAAGTTGAACCCGGAGAAATGTGCATTTGGAGTCGGGTCCGATAAATTCCTTAGATTTATGGTATCCAACCGGGGGATCGAGATCAACCCCGATAAGATCATAGCCATCGAATATATCACTGTTGTGGACAACGTGAATGCCATACAAAGATTAATCGGACGCATAGCCACCCTGGGGCGATTCATCTCGAGGTCTTCCGATAAGAGCCACCGATTCTTCTCACTATTGAAAAAGAAGAATGACTTCTCGTGGACCCCGGAGTGCCAATGGGCCTTGGAGGAGCTCAAACGATATCTATCGATCCCACCGCTTCTCCACACGCCGAAGATAGACGAGCAGTTATACCTGTACCTGGCAGTATTGGAGATAGCGGTAAGTGGATTTCTAGTCCGGGAAGAGAAAGGTACGCAATTTCCCATTTACTATGTTAGCGGGACTTTAGGCGAGGCCGAAACTAGATACCCTTACCTAGAGAAATTGGCGCTCGCTTTGCTAAGCACCTCTAAAAAGCTGAAACCGTATTTTCAATGTCACCCCATATGTGTTGTGACTACTTACCCAATGAGGAATGTAATACATATACCTGAGCTTTCGGGACGGTTGGCCAAATGGGTCGTGGAGATCAGCGGGTACGATATTAAATATTAGCCTCAGACCGCCATTAAATCTCAAATTTTGGCAGACTTTGTGGCCGACTTTATGCCGGCCCTAATACCCGAGGTCGAAAGAGAGTTATTGTTGAACTCGGAGACTTCTTCGGGGATCTGGACCCTCCTTACGGACGGCGCCTCGAATGCAAAAGGGTCCAGACTTGGCATCGTATTGAAGTCACCAATAGGCAATGTAGTTAGGCAATCTATTAGGACTATAAAATTGACTAATAACGAAGTCGAATATGAGGCCATGATTGCAGGTCTCGAACTAGCCAAAAGCTTGGGGGCGGAGGTGATCGAAGCTAAGTGTGACTTCCTCCCTGTGGTGAACCAAGTTAATGGGACGTTCGAGGTCAGAGAGGAACGAATGCAAAGGTACCTGGATAAGTTGCAGGTAACATTACATCGATTCAAAGAGTGAACTTTGCAACACGTACCTCGAAATCAAAATAGTGAGGCCGATGCCCTTGCTAACTTGGGGTCGTCGGTCGAGGACAATGAGTTCGAATAGGGGACAGTCGTACAACTCATGACTGCATGTGCCTGTCTCAGTTCCCCTGTATGTGCCTGTTTTCACTCATGTACAACCGAGATAAAAAAAGGTTTTGTATATGGAGTAAGTTTTATTGGTAACTGAAATGACTTTTACTAATTCATATTGATCACAAATTTTGTATGGAACAAAATCGTATATATTAGTCCTACATTATTCACTCATTAGGACCATCACATTGCCATTTTCATAGTGCTCTATGCTTAGATCATAGCTTACGTATTTAAGGTAAGTGATTTTTAATGATACAAAATTTACTCGCACTTGGTATTTTTTAATTGACCTCACTAACTATTTTCCTAATCTGTGTCGGGCAAGGATTTCCAAATATTAATATTCTCAAACAAAAACCAAACGAAAAGGGGAGAGGGATATTAAATTAGGAAAGTCCCAGTCCGATCTCAATTTGGATTACAAGCTTCTTCTATATAAAGTCAAACACAAGATCCGCTGCACTCATCAATTGAGAAGAGCTAACTACACTATTACTATCAGTGAAAGAAAATTTTCTTTTAACGGAAAACGAATGACTTCTTGTGACAAAGCAGAAAACTCAAGTTTATGCGCAAGGGGTTGCGCTTCTATGGTAACCCAAGCAATCACAACCTTTGTTCCCAATGCTATAAAGCTTTCTTGAAAGAAGAATTCGCCAAGAGTGCTATAGCTTTATCTGAAAAGTTATATTTTCTTACTGTTGATGATACTGTTAAAACTGGAAACGACGATGGTTTGACGATGAACACGAAGACAGAAAGGTGCAATAGTTGTAAGAAGAAGGTGGGATTAGTAGGGTTTAGTTGTAAGTGTGGTGGAATATTTTGCAGGATTCATATGTACCCAGAGGAACTTACATGCACATTCAATTTCAAGTCTATGGGACGTGCACTTTTGGCTAAGGAAAATCCTCTTTGCAAAGCTGATAAACTTGAGTATAGGATCTAAGGCATTCAATTTTAAGTCTATTGCTTTTGTTTTGATTAATACCAAATAGTGTAAAGTTGCAGTTTCCGTTTGAGAATATTTTTATTAATGTCATATATACTATTTACGAGTACATGGTGAATGAAACTACAACGATATTCTCATTTTCCTGCATTAGTTTCTCTCTTTTTTTTGTGTGTGGGGGCATTTTATTTTAGGAAAAAACAATAATTAAAAATAAAATTGAAGAAGGCTTGAGACGGGAGAACGACTTTCCTTAAACAAGATATTACCCGTGTTCAAATTGGGAAAACGCAAATAATCTTTTTCAGGATACAACAAGCCAAGAATATACTTGTAGATTTTTCTATATCCACTTTGTTGAAAGTACTTGTATTTATAGAGCAACCATCAGACATTTTCAAAAAGATATGTTCTTTTCAAAAAAGACAAATTTGTTTATTCAAATATATTTAAAATTTAAAATTCAAATAAAATAGATTTTTAATTATAGAAATAAATAAAAATACAAAACATTTATTTTATGTCCAAGTCCAAGTCTTTGATGTGTATTTGCACAAAATATAAGAGTATGTGTTCTAAATTAAATACAGAAAAGAACAAGGACTTAAAAAGGCTCCAAAAGTGGCCTTTCACCACCAATTGATCCCACATACTTCCCCACATTTATAAAAAAGTATTCTTCATTTTACACAATACAGATTTCTTTTCCATCTCTCAATATATACTTGGCCATCCCAAATTGGATATATACACTACTTAAAAATTATCAAAAAGCGTCCAAAGAATACCGACCGATATTGGTCGGAAACAAATACCGGCCAAAATCGGTCGGAAACAAGTAAAATGGAAAAACAAAATCAAATACAAAACTATAAATAAGAATACCGACCACAATCTATAACGACTCGACCGGTCGTTTTGCTTTTTAGAACCCCGTTCTCCTAAATAAGACTTCACGTACGTGTTTTTATTGTTTTATGACTTGCGGGGATGGTTAGTTCGGGATTTAGAAGGGTTCGGGTTGAAATCGGAACACTTGGTTCCTTAAGGTTGGCTAAAAAGGCTAAATTTTACTTAGGTCAACGTTTTGAGTAAATGACCCCGAAATCGGGATTTGACGGTTCCAATAGGTTCGTATGATGATTTCGGACTTGGGCGCATGTTCGTATCGAGTTTTGGATGACCCGGGAGCATTTTGGCGCCTATTAGTGGAAGTTGGTTCTTTGAAGGTTTTGAAGTTGTTTATATTTGGTTTAGAATAGGTTTTGGTGATATCGAGGTTCAAGTGGAATTTCGAGACCGAGAATAGTTCTGTATGGTGATTTAAGACTTGCACGCAAAATTTGGTGTCATTCCGAGTAGTTTAAGTATGTTTCGGCGCGTTGGGAGTAAGTTAGAAGAACTTGAAGTTCATATTCTTGATTCAATTTGGTTGGGGTATGATTCTTAGTTTCGTTGTTATTATATACATTTTGAGGGTTCGAGCGAGTCTGTTTTATGATTTCAAACTTGTTGGTACGTTTGGACGGGGCCTTGGGGGCCCTGGATGCCATTCGGTACGCGAATTGAGTTTGGAATTCAAGAGGGCTGCTGGTGCNCGGGGAGGGGGGGAGGGTTGGGCTGCAGAAGCGGTTCTGAAGCTTTTGGCCAGGGATCGCAGGTGCGGATTTCTGTGCGCACCCGCGAACGCGCAGGTGCGATGAAGAAGGGCGCAGAAGCGGATCCAGACGCAGAAGCGGCATGTTTGCCGCAAAAGCGGGACCGCAGAAGGGGGATCCCGCCCGCAGAAGCGAAATCAGCCAGCCTTATGCTCTTCCAAAGAAGCAGACCTTTGTCCGCAGATGCGGCCCAGCGACCGTAGAAGTGGAAATCGCTAGAGGCAGACCCCAATTTAATGCGGGACTTAGCCATTTTGAGCTCATTTATTTCATTGTTTGGGCAATTCTTGGAGCTCTTAGAGAGGGTATTTCACCTAGCACTTTGAGGTAAGTAATTTCTACACAATGTGAGTTAAATACATAGTTTATGGGTAAATTATAAAATGTAAATTAGTAAAAATTATGGGTTTAGGTGAAAATTTAGATTTTTGATAAAAATGGGATTTAACCACAAAAATGGTTATGGAATTTAATGAAGATCTTATATTTGAGTTCATGAGGTTATGGGTAACAACATTCTTCAAAAATTTCCGGAATCCGGGCACGTGGGCCTGGGGTGAATTTTAGGAATCCTACATTTGGGGTTGGATAATCACTTTAATAGATAGAATATAAACTTTTGAACATGTATTGATCATTTTATATAATATTTTACTAGTTTCGAGTCGTTTGGCATCGAATTGAGGGTTTGAGCACAATCTTGGACCGGAAAGTAGGATTTGAGACGAGGTAAGTCTCTTTTCTAACCTTGTAAGAGGGAATTAACCCCATAGGTGAATTGATTATTATATGCTCCTAATTGTGGGGGCTACGTACGCACGAGAGTCCGTACGTAACTACTGATTATGCTATATTTCGGGTAGTCTAGGACCCATGCCATGCTATATTTACGATGTTGCACCCTACTTGTTAACTTAATTGCTTGAATCATGTTGGAACTTGATAGAGGAAGTGGTAGAAGGTTAAATTTCACTCACTTAAATTCTTGAAAGGGACACTTGACCGTTATTGGGGATTGGTGTTTCTTTAAATAATTGCCTCTTAATAAATCTCGAATTGACTTTTATAAAGTATTTTCTCTTTTCGTGGAGCGGGTCGAGCGCCTCGGTAGCAGATAGATACATCTATATTTCGTGCCGTTCGACCCTCGGCAGTGCACAGTTTAAATATTTTTATGTTAGATCGGGTCGTACGACCTCGGCATAAATTGCGCATGATAAACCTTTGGAATCGATTATAATTGATATTGTTTCGTGGACCTGAGATATAAATTGTTAAATGATGAAAATAAACTTGGGATATACTATGAGCGAAAGGATTGTTTATTATTCATGTTATTGAGTTTTCAGATATATTTTCTGTAATCCATGCTTAGTTATTGTTTTGACATTTTATTGTTAGCCCATAGTAAGTGTCAAAATCGACCACTCGTCACTACTTCTTCGAGGATAGACTGAATACTTACTGAGTACATGTTGTTTATGTATTCATGCTACACTTCTGCACTTAATGTGTAGGATCTGAGGCAGGTGCATCTGGATATCAATCCGGTGCGCATACTAGATCGCTCCTACGAGACTACATGGTGAGCTGCTTTCCGAGCCATTCCGCAGCAGCCGAAGTCTTTTCTTTTGCTTGTATTTTCTGTCTACCTCATTTCAGACAGTAGCGTAAAACTCTTTTGTATATTCTACTAGTTTCTCGTACACTTATGACACAAGGTCTTGGTGGCTTAAGCTAGTAGACATGTGATGATTTTTTGGGGTTATCTTACTTATTTCACTGCTTAAAAAATCTTGATTTCTCATTTTTATTAAATGCTTACTTCTTAAATTATGCATAAACTAAAAATCAACTATTTCAAATCTTTAAAATAAAGGATCATAGAGTTAGTTCACTGTCGGCTTGCCTAGCGATAACGTTGGACGCTATCACGGCCCATAGGAGAAATTGGGCCGTGACAACATGGTATCAGAGCTCTAGGTTCACGTAGGTCTCACAAGTTATGAGCAGGCCTAATAGAGTCTTGTGGATCGGTGCAGATACGTTTGCACTTATTTTTGAGAGGCTATAGGGTGTTAGGAAACTACTCTTTCTTCATCTCCTATCGTGCAATTGATGTTATACTAAGTGTCTTTCTCTTATTCTCTCACAGATGGTGAGAACGCACATGGCGGATGTTCCAGACCCGGGATGAGCTGTTCTTCATGTTGCTAGAGGTTGAGGTAGAGGCCAGGGGAGGGAACCAGCCCGAGGTAGGGGACGAGGACGTCCCAGAGTTACCCCAGCTATACCACCAGCGGATCCAGTAGAGGATCTCGCTATTGAGGAGCAGGGCGAGGTGCCTACAGTAGAGTCATCCTCGGTAGATTTCATGTCAGCACCGGGCGTTCGGGAGGTTATGGGTCGTATGCTGCGGTTCATGGATACTATGACCCAGGCTAGTTTATTTCTAGCGGACCCAGCCACATCTCAGGTTGGGGGGAGGGAGCACAGACCCCTACTACTCAGGCTCCGGGACATGAAGATGCCGTATATCAGACCTCGGGCGCACTACCCGTGGGCGGAGTCCAGCCAGTTACAACAGCTGTACCTGAGTCTAGACCAGCTACGGTCGGCGAGCCGCGGAAGCTATTGGATAGATGGACCAGGCTTCACCCTCCTGTCTTCGGAGATAAGCGACATGAGGACCCCCATGACTTCATTGATAGGTGCAGGGACAGACTGCACAACATGAGTATATTAGAGTCCCATGGGGGGGGATTTTACTACTTTCCAGTTGGCGAGCAGGGCCCGTAGGTGGTGGAACTCTCATCTTCTTGGCAGACCAGCAGGTTCTCCTCCCATGACTTGGGATCCGTTTACACGTCTTTTCTTGAACAGGTATATTCCACCCTCTCAGAAGGAAGAGTTCTGATTCCAGTTTGAGCAGCTCCAACAGGGTCATATGTCAGTGACCGATTATGAGGCGAGATTCTCTGAGTTGTCTCGCCATGCACTTATGATACTTCCTACTGAGGCGGAGCGAGTGCAGAGGTTTGTTGCAGGGTTGCACTCAGGTATTCAGGCCACTATGGCCCGGGAGGTTGAGATGGGGACTTCTTATCAGCTAGTAGTGAAGATAGCCTGGAGGATTCAGGGTTACCGTCAGAGAGGTAGAGAGAAGATGCAATGGGACAAGAGGGTCCGTTATTCCAGAGAGTTTAGAGGTGCCCCGTCTGGGGGCAAAGGTCAGTTCATGAGGGGTCAGCCCCCCAGCAGGCCCACATATCCAGCACCGCTGCCTCCTCGGGGTGCTCCAGTGCGACCCTATTTCAGTACCATGCCAGAGAGTTCTTA